ATTGTCTATGTATGCACGTGTCTGTGTGAGCATGCAAATATCACGCAGATCAGAATTGGTAGTGAATTTATGTACCAGTGGTCCGGGGATGTTAGGTGACGTTATAAATGATAGATCATAGGCTCCGGGTGTGGTTTTGTCGTGTGGACAACGTGGTGTAGTTTATGCGCACATGTACTTCGGATGCGGTCGACGATTGATGGCGAGTGGTATTAGGTCAGCAAACTGAGACCTGAGCTCTGTCTGACCCACTGCTGCAATGCGGATNCTGATAGACAGAGACTGAATAATTAAACGTTGTTTGAATTATCCCACAAAGCATAGTTCAAACAAAACTCAGACTGCCGAACATGCTCGTTTTCAGTGATTCGTAATCATGCCAATACATCCCAGAAAATCATATATCATCGTGTTTAAAGTAAATGACGCGTGAACTGTTTCCACATGATTGGGTCTTATCAGTAGTGTCAAGTAATTGACTAGACAGGGAATCGAATAGGGACCTAACAGGTAGAATATAAGGATACAGTTTTTATTTTCTTTATACATGACAGCATAACTTATCTCGGGGAGCACTTTGTATGTTTCAGCTCCAGCCTCCAGGATTATGACTCGATTCCATTCACGCTTCATTTGTTGTGTAAGCGATGAAAATCACCGTATGATCAAACCAAAACCTTTACTTCGCTCGTATAACATCATATATATATAAATTTAATCAATGATTAAGACTAAAATCACCTTAGAAAAAAATACAAATCCATATGGGTCAATTATGGGACCAGAAGTCAGATTCAAAATGGTCACCCATTTATTTGCTTACTCCTCCAAACATTGGGATTAATCGGAATAAGAGGTGTCTGTCTGGGTTGGACCAGGGGAGCTGAAGTGCCTGCTCAAATATTTTTGGGGCAAACAGACTCTGAACAGTCTATACACAACCTGAAATATTGTTTTAGAACAATGGGATTTCGAAATCTAGCGCCTAATCTCATCGAATCGAACAAACCAATAAGTGTCTAGAAATTCAGCAGAAATTCGTATCCGGTCTTTGAGGATTCGCACGGGGGCAAGGAACTGTGGATTTCCGGTTAATGTGAATTTGGAAGGACCCGATATGTTCGAATAAAACTGGGGTAGATATTCGAAGGGATTTTCTGCCCAACTGTTCCACATGTGGACGAATGCAGCGCACAACGTTTTGTGGATAATTCCGCAACGGGTATAAAAAATGTTCGACTGATACTCACTCGAAAGCCCATGGCAAAGAATTTTGAGTTGTTGCTTTTAAGAGATCGGCAGAAGCTAAAAGTAAAAAATGATTGGGAGCACGGAGAGATAATCGCTGAGCAAATTTGAGGTTATTTCTTGTTTGACACAAAAGTTGCTTCTAAGTCCATGTCAATGGTTTTCTGTCAGCTGCGTGTTACTTTAGGTGCCAAATTTTGCGTCCAGCACATGGGACCGGACGTTGTATCTGGTTCTTTCCGATCCGATTCGACTGATGGTCCTCGTGTCGCTTGCCTTCAGGTTGTGCATCGACAGTGAACGAAGGGTGTCAGTTGCCCAAAATGCGATTCTAATCCTCTACAAGAATTCCATCCACATTGAATTTATTCTAATGTATTGCGGCTATCCAACTTGTGTTCTTGGAGTTTTGGGCGCGGTGGGTTTGCGAAGTTTCTTATGAATTATGGACAGATAAACCGGACGGAGAATCGTTCTCGGATCCGTCACCTCCTTGTGACCCCTTGACCTCCGTTGAATTTATCATTTTTGTTCGCTGTGATTAGGCGATTAGCTAACTTCAGACGTTTTAGGGAGATCAAATAAGTGGGACGCAGTATGCGTTCAACTTCTCTGTACCAATACAGAGCAGTGACTTGAACCAGTGGAAGTCACTTGGGAATCCAAAAATTTGCTGTTTTCCCAACTTTTCCTTGGCTGCCTTAAGGCGTTTGTGGATATGCTTGATGAACCATGCGAACAGCTCGACATGTTCTTGCTTGATTACTACAAACGTATCTTTGATGTAATTCCAGCAGATTGTTGGTGGTATTTGCTTAGGACAAAATATAGTTTCTACAGAAGTTTACATGAAAATGTTCGCCCCAATTGGAAAACCCATTGACACTCTATCGGCTTGTTTATATGAAGTATCGTCAAGGATGAGAGGAGAAAGAATTTCGAGCACAAGGAAGTTGTCACGATACTTTCTCCTCTCGCGTCCGAGCTGATTCGAGTGCCTAAGGAAGTGCGATTTAACCGGTGTGTGTGTGTGTGTGTTCTGCAGATTGTAAATCAGCCAACCACGAGGAAAAACATCGAGGCCCCCTCCAAAGAACAAACTTTTGAAAATAATCTAAAGTTCTTCAAGCATTAAGGAAGACAGCATCCAAATAAGATCTATTTGGCTTATACACAAACGTAAAGGGGTCATGGGGAATATGAATATCAGAGTGCAGGCTGGTGAGAATAGCACGCTCTATTAGTTTCAGTTCAGAGGAAGTAATGGCGATGGGAGGAAAGCGTTGGAGATGATTTAGGAATGGGAACAACGGCGATTCAGGCATTGAACATGGGTAAGTGGGTTAAATAATGAGGGATGCGACCATCTCTGTGAGTGAACCAGTGCCATATTTGAGCACAGACGAAAATAGATCAACGGGGTCTAACTGCACTCGTGATTCTGTATTTTCAAGAGGATGATAAACCTCCTTCCTCATGGCTAACAAGGTCGACGGTAGACAGGCCATCTTTGGGATATGGAAACAGAAGATCATTTGAAGGATAAATGAATTCAGCATTCGGGCTGTCCACATCAATAATTTTCTTTGTTGTCCGTTTCTTCTGTCCACACAGCAATCTGGTCCCTTGCCAAAACCGTTTTCTATCTAAAGTTAGCAGAACTTGCTTTGTGATCGATGTGTTCAGTCTTTTAATCTCTGTCCTGATTTGTGCCGTAAGCTGTTTGACAGTGGTTGTTTGGGGCAATTTGAAAGCGTTGTTCTTTTTATCTTATAAGAGCTTTCAGCGATGGAGAGCCTACTATAGCCGCGTGAAAAAAATTATTTCCATGAGAAAGCACAATTTGAAAACCAAATTAGCTGTCTCAGTAAACTGTTCCAGAAAACAAGGAAATTTTTGTATGGAAAACGCCGAGTTAACTGCTCGGTGCTCTCCGTCGACTATCCGACTTTGGCTGTGCTACAAATAAAAGACCCTGGAAACACACATACGCGAATGATGAACTCGTCAGTCCGTCAGGGACAGTATTTGAAATGTGTTCCCGATGAATGTCGCATCTCCTGAATGAAATAACGCACAGCTATATTCATGTGAAATAATATTACAAGAATTGTCAGCTACTCATTTTTTTCACCAAATCGTTTTCTTTCTGTCATTGATCTCTGATTACCGCTCGTCATTGTGCCTTTTTTCTCTCAGGTACTATGTGCCATCGTGGCCCTGTTTCAACGTGCCGTTCTGAGCCGCGAGGTCCGTCTACCATTCCTGTCCACACATTCATTGTTCTATTTATTACCGTATCTGAAACAAACCGCCCAGACTCGTGAGACCGAACAGCTTCGTGTTAGCCTACTCGGTTTATTTGCCACGGCAGCCAGCAAGATCCCGATCGAGGTGATGGAACACTATTTGCTCCGTCTGCCCACCGGGAAATCCGAATCGACCGGACGATTCTACGCCATATGTTCGGAAAGTTTGTACGACCACACTGTGGCCGCTTTGGGCACGTGTACGTCTGAGGTGGGTAAAACTATGGCTCTAGTTCTTCTGGCCCGTCTTCTTTCATCCTCGGAACAACTGAGCCAGATCGGATCAGATCCGCATCGATTTCATCATTTGATATCCAATCTGAACTCCATCATCACGTATATGGCTCGCAAATTCGAACGAATCGTCAGTCAACCCGGAGTGTCAAGTGGTGCAGCCGGATCGGAAACCGAATCACCCACGTGGAGCCTCGCGTCGACCAGCTTTGATCGAGCCAAACGTCTGTTCCGATTCACCATGGATTGTATGTATCGACTGGCAGAAGATCCGCGAATGTGTATCGCTTTGCGAGTTTGCTTACCTCTGGAACTCCGTTCCCGTTTGTTCACAACCATTTTTGGAAGTGATCGCGAAGTGGATACTTGGCTAGAGCAGCTGTGGTATCGTATCAAGCTGACCCNCCCCCAGTCAAACTGACCGCAACTCACTCCGGTTCGGTGGCTCGCTGTTCACAATGGCCCGATCGTGAAACGGATGCCAGGATTTGAGACAAATTGAACTACTTGATCATAATATCTGTTTATTGAACTGATCAAAGTATATTTTTTGGGTGTTATACAGTTTATTTATGAATTGATATTCACAGAAATGATTACTTTTACAGTGGGATTTTGCTTTTTTTATGGTACAGCGGTTAAATTTGGTTGAATTCGAACAGTCTTGGTTAGAAAGTCTGGGAAACACCGTCCCTCTACGATGCACTCATAAGTATAATCTCGGTGGAGCGCCAAAAGCCAAAGCCACATTGTTTGGGAAGGTCACTGTGGTGATCCAACCCTCCAAGATAGAAGCCAACCATGGAGCTACGCGTTGCAGTTTCAGAACAGTGAATCAGAAGCCGAAAACCTCAACCACTCAAAGGCTGCGCAATCCAGACAGGAGTCTTGTATAAACAATGATAATTTTTATTTGAGTAGTGTTTAATCCCATCAATTTCTTTCATGAACTGGATCATCATTTCTGTGTGGACTGCACCTCGCTGATTGCAGATTTCGACTGACCAGTAGTATTGCGACTAATGTGACTCAGCTGCGACTGGAACTGCCGATTCGTGATTCCCTCCTGTTCGTCGTTATTCCAGTCTATTACGAGTATTACAATCATTTTAGTGAGGGGCCTCGTTGCACAGCATTGCTGAGGGACGAGAACATGACCGGCTTTTTCCTCTTCCAGCAATAAACCAATGATTGGAACGCAAGCAAATAAAACTTTCGGCGATTAGTGCAATATTCATATTCACACCGGTAATTAACTACACCAAGAGGCAGGAAGAAGACCAAAAAATAACAGTTGGTTCACAAGGAGAAATCAAACAGAAGAAGCCTTGCAATTTGCATCGCGTCGCATTCTATCGTACTTACTTTTATTCGTCCAAACTGCTGGCTATTGATATTCGAGAAACTGTAGCGGTTGGTGTCATGACTCACATTGTTTCACAGGTCTGGATCATCAAAACAATGGAAGCTGAGTGGTACGTTTTAGAGACTTGAGGGTTGGTTACACCAGATTTTGTGTGGCTCAGACGGAGCCACATGCTTTCACCTTGTTTCTAATGCGTGCGGATCCTTCTCGATCGATGGACCGTCTGCCCCTGATATGGATGAATGGAAAGTGGTTCCGATTGCTTGCGTGATTCACAAACTCTACTAGTCTAACTACTCACTGACGGTTTGGACCTTTGTCTAGTTCACATCGTTCTCCACCTGTGTCGTATTGTCCTTGAGTCAAACTGGAGCACGAACAAATGAGCATCGTGTTCAAAGCGGAATGAGGCCTCATGATGACACGTGACATACTACATATCTTCAACATAGAATCAGATGGGTGTGAATCTTCAAGTAGAGAACACTGGCTACTTTTTTATCCTTGTCGGATGTGATGAAACACTTGCTAACGTGCCGCTTACACCAGGGAAACGTCAAAGTCTTAGCCAAGAAGCGTTCTGCTCCAAAACATGCAGTCTTGATCGCATTGTTCACTCAAATATCAGGATAACCTTTTTAGGTAAGACTAAACTAGACCTGAACACTACTCCTATCTGTGGTGGTATTGGTGCTGGTGGTTGTGATGATGGTGGTGGTGGTGTTTTAAATCGAATTGTATGAACGCTTTGGCGAGTGATTATAAGTTATGTACTAAGTGCATTAGAGAGCTCAGAACGAACGCTTTCCTTGTCGGTCAGTATCTGGGCAAGGTAACTTACCAAAGAGTTGCTGTAGGCAGACATCCGAGTGCGGGAGAGTTTGTAGATTTCTATCGACGGGTGGAATTTGCATGCACACAACTCAACGTGTGAAGGATGTATGTAATCAGGCAGATTATTGTCAGCAAACTTCAAGCACAAGCATCAATATATGCATCACANAACAGATAACGAAACTCGGGAAACAAGGCTGATCATCGAGAGGCCAAGCTCCCAGCAACTGGAAATCAGCCTTCAGTAAACTAGGGAAAATAGCAGGGGAGCAGTAAAGGGGTATAGGGGTAACAGATTAATGAACGAAAGCTTCTGTCACCGACAAATCAGAACAGAAGTGACGCATGAAAGGAGAGAACCTTCGGCTTGCAAGCAACAGTTAGGGTATGCTAAGATCAGCGAAGGTTACTTTCCAGTGTGACACCTGAGTGCTTCACATGACTGACCCTGCTCATCGGCTTTCTCTGACTCTGTACATTGTCAGAGAGAGATGGGTAACGGTTTAAAGTAAAAATACATCCAAGGCATTTATCGCGATTAAGATAAAGACAGGATAAAGTGGAATACGTCACGAAGTGGGATGAGGTTAGGTTATACGCCGCCAATTATGATTTGCTAAACACGGAAACAGAGATGGTGATGTCATGAGCATAATTAAAATGTCGTACCGGGGTCGTAATAGGTAAGTCACTGATATAAGTCGCAAAAAGATGGGGTGATGAGTGTGGTGAGTCAATCGTCCCAATTGAAGCCAGCTAAGCGCCCATGCGTAAAAGTTTCTAGACAACAAGCCACAGGCCGATCGTGCCGACCAATCGGAAGTCGTGTTGTCCACAGAGAAGCCGTATGATGTCAAGAACCCAAGCAGGCGATTGGTGGATACCTGTATAACCAATAATTTCCCTCTATACATGTTATTTAATCCGACTGATTTCTTTCAATAAATGAAATGCTACATCAGTGACCTGTTTCTTGCGTCTTGGTGACGGGAGATGTCAGTGTGCAAGTGCGTTTCATTTGTGTCCGTGATTCGTGATTCGTAAATGGTATGTTGTGATCTGTGCCTATTTCGACTACTACAATCAGACAACTCATTGAATTACACCTGAACTATTCAGGTGCACTGTTCAGTTTTTTCTTCCCAATTTGACGTAATAGTTTATTTACGATAAGCAATTACCATACCATTTCAGAAGAGAAATTGGACAACTAAACGATTGCAGCTGGTTAAGTAAAAGAGAATGGGACACCGATTCAAAAACGAAAGTTTAACTAAGAAGTACACAGTAAACATATTAGGCTTTCTCGTTTAAGGACTTGCATATGTGGTGAACTATAGAGGAGAAACGACATCCATTGTTGAACGGTTATGTTAGTAAGCAAACTGATAAGTCATCGGGAGTAGTGAGAATTAACGGAAGGAAAGGTTGGAACGGATCGCTCTATTAATTTCAAATCAGTGGAAACGTTTTGCAATTGGGATCCTTGTCGGTATGGATTTAATTCTCACCGGGCTTCCCAGTACTCCGGAATGGTTCGCGGATCCAGTGAAAGATCTTTTTGGGTGAAATTTGAGAGAACGCATACATTTCATCAGAGGTAATTGGTTAAAACAAGATTGTATGGTTCTAGAACTTGAGTCAATGTAACTCAGGAATGCGTCAGACGAAGAATGAATGAGTGCAGCATTCAGTTGTTCGATAGCTATGCCAGAAATGGGAATTATTATATTCTACCTGCACAGTAGTTTGATTCCAAGCCACATAGATCTACAATTACTCATCCAAAAAAACTGGCTTGCATAAAGGGAATCCAACGGTCTTATTTCACTCAGAAAAGATAATAGTTGCATCTCAGCCCGCCTACCAAATTTACATACACGTTCCTTTTCACAACGAAGGCGTTTAACAAAAGGTGTTACTAATCTGCCACGTTGAAGGAACAAAGTGAACACAGGAAAGCAGATGTCAAAACAAGGTTTAACAAGTCTGTTAGAAATGTGATATTGTAGAACCAGAAAGTGTTTAAAGGAAATCAGTCAGTAACAGCTTCGTCAGGCTCCCTAAGCAGAGCAATATTGTCTGGGGCAAGAGTCCGCCAAAGGAACATGATGTGTTTAGGTCAAGTAAAAGGAAAACATCATATGTGAGTAAATCTTAGGTTTGATCAGGATCAGGTTATGATCACTGGTGTCGAAAGGGGGGATGTTTGGTAGAAAATGTGTTAGCATGATTCGTGATTATGTGATCCAGATAAAGATTCCTGTCGTGAGTCACATCTCCCAGATGACGTCGGCCTATGCGTCACAGTTTCTGGGCAACGAACCAAAGATCAATCAGAAGTCGTGCGGTTTAGACAGAAGCTATATGACGTCAAGAATACAAGAATACCTGTATAACCAATATACTCCCCTTGTACATGTAAATTAATTTCCTTGATTTCTTTCAATAAATGCACCGCTACTTCTGTGAACTTTTCCCTTCGTCTCAGTAACGGGAGATTTCAGCATACAGGTGCTAGTGCGACTCAGTGTTTCAGTTGTGTCCGTGATTAGTGATTTTATCGGTGAAGCTACTCTAGTTGGTTCAATTATAAGGTCACTGAGGTTAAGACAGAATAAATGATGCAAGGGATGTGGGTAAAGCTATGTGCAAGCTGTCAGCAGGAGTTGNCAGGAGTTGAGCATAAAATGTGCCAGTATCTGATGACCTAGCTAGCATTCGATACAATGTATAAATTGATGACGGCCATAAAAGAAAAGCGAGAAAATTTGGGGTGACAGATAACAGTCAAGCAATCAATACCATTTTGTAAATACTTGAAGTGCTTGGAACTTGTCACATCTCTTGGAGTTGATGCGGCTAATCACATGGCCTCCCAACTTCTTCCTACATTTTGGTCTATCTTATCTGTAACAGACGCAATTATTTAGTTTGGACTACTGAATCTTCCACGTCATTATCATTGAGCCATGACTTCTGAGAACACAAGACACCAGGGGTGCGAAATTCCGTCCGCTGAAGCCAATAAGATAAATCCGGGCACTTTTCAAACAAAAACGTGTGCACTGTTACTCACAATAATAGGTACAGTAATCATATTGCCGAAAGTGGTGCAACCAGTAACCGTTTCGCAACCGGCACGAGTGCATTTTCCACATTTGGAGTATTTGTGCGGTTCACTAGTGACTGGCCAAATGGAGAAATTGTAGCACATGCGA